TTTTAAAGGACTGTTTTTCAACACTCCTACAACATTATTTTTAACAACTTCGCATGCTGAGACCTTCTAGGAATATAGATGCATGGCTATGGTAGTTTATTGCTTACTAACAGCCCTCCCCCATTTCCTGTTGATGACCACATCTTCCCATTTGTCCCAAGAGAAACGGCTATTATCCTTTTGTTCCTGCATGGAGAAGCATGCTGAGGAAACTTGCTCCAGAAGCATGTGAACTTCTTCCTACCTAATTTTTTCTTTGCAACATGAAGTTTGACCTGTGTATGAATATGCACATGATTTGTAAGTAAATTTACTTTTATATTACTCTCAATCCAAATACTTTGTCTTGACTCTTTACTGGGTCAGACATGTGGGAACCTTGAAAGGAAAATAAGTGGACCTAGTAATCCTGCTCTCATATATTCTGCTTACTCTGCTGGTGAGATTAAACAATATCTCCTATTTTGGAAAAAGGAGAAACTTTAACAGGTTATGGGCCCAGTGTCTATGACCAGATGAGAACAGTTTAAAAGTAGATTGTTTGGGCTTTTGTTATTGTTGCTATTGTTTGTTGCAGTTTTTTTTACTCTCTCCCCTTTAATTAATCCGTGTCTACCAAAGAGAGTTTAGGTTTGCTTTTGAGCTGCTGATGTTTTGATGCTAAGTTTTGATTTTTGATTATTTTTGAATTCCTAACCAAGCAACAACGTCTCTGCAAATCTCCAAATTGAAGTTAACTCCTCATAATTATTCAGAATGGAAGTGGAGGCGAAATGTATTTTTGCTAGCACATAGAGTTTATCATTGCTTAGAAACAGAAATGCCAACTGAAGAAAAACAGAAATTTATTTGGATTAAAAAGGATGCTATAGCTCAGCATATTATTCAGGAATCTCTCTCAAGTGAACTAATTAACAGTGCAGGACTGTGATACTTCAAAAGACATGCTTTTAAGACTTGAAGATAATTTTGGAAAGAAAACTAATAAGACTTTGTACGTTGTGATGAGCTGATGAATCTGAAGCTGAATTCTAAACAGAACAGTGAGTCCCACATTGCTAAAGTAAATGGTTTTCTTGAAACAATTACTTTGTGTGATTTTAAACCATCTGAAAATCTGAAAATTGCTTTTCTTATGGGAACACTGGGGAAACCATTTGATCCATTTGCTACTGTAATGAATACTTTGTCAGACATGACTTTTAACCAAGCTCTGAGAACTGTAGTTTATTGTTGCACCAGAGCTCTCTGACAGAGAAGGCTCAATGTCTCAGAAAAACTACAGTTCCCATGATTCCCTAGCACTGAGCCAGGGCAGTTAAAGTGGTCTCAAGCTGCATTATTTCTAGCAGTCTGCAAAGGCCCTAAGAGAGAATGTGTGGACCAGGCAGAAAGTTGCTACTTCCCAAATGAAAGGGCTTCCCTCCAGACATTGTTGGACAGCACATTCCATCACCTTTCATTACTGGCCATGCTTGGGTATATGGGAGTTGCAGTCCAACAATGTTTGGAAGGCCACAAGATGTCCAGTCCTGCATCAATGCATTTAAGGCATTTATAAAAGACATGCTAAAATGCAAATCCTAATCATCATCCTACTGGAATGTGAAATTTTGGTTTAGAAATTTATTCCCTCTGCACCTTTCTTAAAGGGGGTAGCAAAATATTTTTTTTTCTTCAAGACAGGTAGATGTTTAAAAAATGAGAAACTAGGTTACAGTAACTGCATAATACATACGCCCCCCACACACTTAGTGATGTCACTGGATTCACCTAAGTTGCCACCATAGTAGCAGCCACCATTCCTGCCACCGCCATCCTGCCTGCCCACCCTGGCTCTCTTGTTATTTCCTTCCCCCATCCTATTCCCTCTGTCCATGCAACACCCACCCTCCTTCTCATGTGTGTATGAGTGTGTGTACATGTATGTGTAGAGATACACACAAAGTTTCTTCACTTACTCATGATCACTCCCTGGGGCACAAAAAGAGAAAGGAGACTG